ACAGACTGCTTGAAAAAGATGACATCAGCAACATTAAAGAGGGTGAAAATGACCCTTCAGCAGCAGATTGCAAGGTGTTGCATACAGGTGGTAAGCAACTTTTATTTTTCTTTTAAATCAATGACTAGGTTAAATAAAAATTGAAAAAGTCACATAAAAATTATATAGAGAAGAGTCAACAGTATCTTTGAGAGTGCTGATAGCAAGTTTGTGCATAGTTGTAGGCTTGAATGATGGAAGGCTATTTATCAAATTACAGCTCTATTGTGTGCTCAAACTGCTTGTGTGCTCAATTTTTTGTGCTACAATGAAAACCTTTTGGAACCACAGTGTTTTCCTTTGAAGGCTGATATAGCTTAATTTATTTCAGATTTTACTTGAATATACCATTTTGAGAAAAAAAAAGAATTGTGTATCTTACCCCATAGGAAATTTGTAAGGAAAGGTGAACATTCTGTTTCAGCGTCGTTCTCGTGTAAACTCTTCCACTTTTCTGAAGTGATATACTGATTTTTGTTTTCTGATTTGCTAAAATTCAATCATTCTCCTGTAAACCCTTCCACTTTTCTGAAGTGATATACGGATTTTTGTTTTCTGATTTGCTAAAATTCATTTTTTCCTGAATACAGTTGTCAATCTGTGTCAATACTGAAGGCTAAGTAGAGTGATTCCATGAGGCGATGTGAAGAAAACTTTGTCCGAAGCAGCTCCTTGTCACCAAATCTTCTGATCTTCTCCTATGGCTGCATTCCTTGTTGCTTTCTCTAAGCATAGATTAGACTGCTTCATAGAGACTTTCTGATGTGCAAGTGTGTTGCAACAAATGAAACAGCTCCTTAGTCATAACGGTGATAGTCCAAATAGAAGGAAATCAGAACCAACCCTTGTGCCACTCTTCAGTTAAACAAACAAACAAAACCCACAAAACAACCAAAACTCCACAGTCACTTTATTTTATGGACCTTTGTATAATTTTGGCACTTTTCTGGTGTATTTTATTCTACATTTTCCTTTACATGTTCTTCCCCCTCCTTCTCAAATTTTAATGATGTAATTTTATATGAAGGGTTTTTAAGTTATTAGAACTCATTTTTAATTTCTTTCTTACATAACAAGAATTAAAACTATTGTTTCAGCTGTATATCATTTGTGCAGTACTGGTGAGTTTCATGCAACGGATTTTGATTGTAGTATTGATTTTTAATGCAGCTACATCATCAGCGTTTTTACCAGTATGAGAGAGGTACTGGCATCCTGGAATCCTTGTTTTCAGTGCCAGCTGTGTTGGACTTGTTTTTATATGAATAGTCCAGAGACCAGAGTATTTCTTATCTGTTTGTTTGAGTTTCTGTCTACCAGGCAAGGATCTCTCTAATGTTAGAGAGATAGATAATATCATCTTTTTTCTCTACTGAAGGCTTGCAGGTTCAAAGTATCAGCACAGTTAGCTTTCTACATTTTTCAGACCTTTTTCAGATAAGAAGGTACAAATATTCAAATGAGGTAGGTGTAGTTGTCAACTTGAAAGAATCTTTAGAAAGTGAACCCAAGCATACCGATTTTGATTCAAAGAACAAAATTGAATATTTATTCTTGTGTTTAACTCCTTTCTCTTCCCCCTGGTGCTGACAAATTTTTCTGCTATTGTTAGCAGAAATCCAGTATGTCTTATTAGAAATGTTTTGCAGGTACAGGAGTAGTACACTTTCACTCAAACTTCCCCCGGGTTACTGCAGTGCATTTGTTGTGTGTATACATAGACATGCATGTCCTGGTTTTTATCGGTGTTCCATAACTATGGAACAAAACTTCAGATTTCCCCCTCCCTCCCCAGCCTGAAAAAAGTCATGATTTAGGATAATTCTTTTTAGATGCTTTCTGACATTGTTAGCAGCATGAATGTTTACAGAATTTCCTTCATTCTCTTCAACTCCCTGAATACGTCCTCTGTTATTCTGTATAAGCCATGGAACGTATTTAACCTGTCCATTTGAGTCTTTCATTGCAGTTATAAAAAAGTGTGCTCTTATCTTTGATTCAGGCTCACACCCTACACAGGCAAATGCAATATTGATTAGAGCTTTTAGATCACAAAGCCAAAAACACTTAAAAGGAAGTAACTTTTAAGAACTGTAATAAGCAATCATCAAATGGAATGAAAGGTACCTCTTGCTAAGCAATAATCATAATTGTAATGGTTAGAAGATTATAGATATGTTTCAGTCAGCTGAGGAGTTGTCTTCTGTGCTGTCAGTCCAAGGACACAAAATATCAAGATGTTATGGCACTGAAATAAATTCTTCTCTTTTTCCTTCATTTCAGGGCCTTCCCTATTTCTCTTGAATCAGTACAAGTGCCCTTCTTTGAGAGCAGAGTCAGTGCTTGTTGAGTTGTGCTGAGTGTTCGGCAACACCCCCATTGCTTGGAAACTGCGGGAGATTTGTGAGGCAGATCGCTTTGTTTTCACGTTCTACTTTTTGAGGAAGACATCATTTCCTAATGATGTTTTCATGAGAGCGTCTTGCAGTGCCTTTGACAACTTATAGGACTTTCAAGGTCATGTAGAAATGGAGACGTTTTAAAATTGTTTTCTTTTATAGGACTAACTTAAAAGACGGAGCTTTCTGAAGAACCATCCAGGTGTGTTGCCCAAGTTGGTTGCCTTGATGGTTTTCAAAACCATTGCCTTTGGGACCAGAATTTTTCATGCTTGACTTCTCTATGAGAGTGTGGTTTTATATGTCTGTTTTTCTCTGCATCTCCCCCTACAAAGTTTGACATGAAGCCCTGAGGATGCACCATGAAGCACCTCCATAGAGGCTGAGATTCTAAGTTTAGGGTTATGAATTCTGCCTTAGTTCTACTCTATTTTATATTTACAGCCTGGTTATATGGGTTCATAACTTTTTCCTAGATATAAAATCATGCTGTGTTTATGCCCATAGATACATTTCTGAAACTACAGAATTTTGTGCTACGTACCAACATTACATATGTGAAAAGCTTGCCATATCTTGTGATCATGTATTATACCATAATTTGAGCATAATGTATTTCATTAACACTGCAAATGTATGGGCACAGAGAGATCTTTGAGTCTGAAACTGCTTCAGTGCTGGAGTGGATCCTACGAAAAGTTGTGTTGCTGTTTGTAAGAAAAATGGGGAGTATCCAGCATTTTGACCAAAACACTGAAAAGTATGCCTGAAAGTATGGGATGAAATGTTTGCTTATATTAGTGAACCTGACTGTTTTAATACAAATTTTTTTCCTAGCATATAACAATAAAAAAAGATGTCAAAGAATGCACACATGTTCATTTTGGATGACAGAAAATGTTATGACAATAATTTGATGCAATAGCATATTCCTATAACTATAGACATTGTCATAATATATATTTAGATCTTCCTAAGATAGGTTTATATTTGCAGTCTCAGTGTGGACATCATGTCATCTTATTCTTTTTTTCCCAACCTGCTTATATTTATTGTATGGGGTCTGTAATCATAAATATTGGTGGCACTTTTTTCTTGTACTTACTTTTCAACATGAATTATACCTTCCTTAGCCTAACTTTCATGCAGTCTGGCCTTTGAGTGTATTCTTAAGATTGAATTAGAGTTATCAGTTTCCAAGGTAACATGCTATGGTTTCATCAGTTGCAGGATTACGATTTCTCTGCAGGATAAATTGGGAAGAGTAGACGGATTTTAGAGGACAGAGGGTTTTCTTTTTGTTCTTTTAACTCTAGGCCAGTTTGCCTTGGAGAACTACTTGACAGCATTAAACGCTTTTTATTTTTGCCTTTTCATTTTCCATGGAAGCCAGAATGTGAAAGCCTGTCCTGCAGCATTAGAGGTGCCAGTGAAACACAGTAGTTTGCTCTTACGCTTACACAGCCCCTGACAGCTCTCCATGTTTAGCCGTGCTGCTAAAAGAGGCTGTTGTTTCCATCTGCTCCTTTTACCACACCATCAGAACTATCTCCCAGCCATTCCTCCGCTGGCTCTGTGTGAGTACTCCCTAATTTGCTACATACAAAATCCACCACATTATCTCAAACAATTTAAGCTGGCAGTGTGATTGCACCTGGATTTTGCCTGAAGTGAATTAAGGAATCGGAAACTATGCTGCTGGGCGGATGAACTGGCCGATGGTAACCTTCAGCATAGGTAGCAAAAAGCACCTTGGGAATGGTGCCATATTTCCTAGCTGGAATGAAGGAAAATAGTTGTTCATAGCCACATTGCTGCAGGCATCTGTGGGTTAATTTTTGTTGAATAATCTGATACCTGATGGGGACTCTCCAAGTCTAGATTAAACCTTTCTGTCTTTCAGGGCCCTAGGGATGGGCACTGCCTCCATTCAGTGCATCCCTCCCAATGCAATGCTGGTAGAAATGTGAAATAAAACTGTTCTGGTTTTGTTAGCGTCTTCAGAAGAAGAGCTTTTACTGTAAGTTATCATTTAGTCAGGAAGATGAAAAATTCTCCCTCAGTCTGTGTTCACTTGAGTAGCAGATGTTATTTATTTTGAGGAAACAAAAACACTTCTGAAAAACTTTCTCTTCCCTTCCTTTTCCTCACATTTTTCTTTCCTGTTCTCTTAAACTTGTCTTTGCATCAACTCTGTTTCTGCACTTTTTTTTCTTTTCCCTCTCACTTTTGTGTCATCTTTCTCTTTTTGATAGGGCCCTTAACTGGGCTATATGTAGCCCAGCATATAAGACAACCCCTTCAGCAGTACTTTCTCTAAGTAGTTCAGCTGTTGATGGAAGCTTAAAAACGTGTAAGGGAAAGGAAGACTCTTGAACAGAATCAACAAACTATTTCTTAAACAGGACATCAGAATATTTAGTTGTGCAACACTCCTAGAGCAAGTTTTATCCATTACTCCTGTGTTTTGAGTATATTACATTTCCTTAGCTTTATGTCCATTATTACCATCACCTTCTTTTTCTGTTTTCATTGTGACTAAAGCTGCTGAGACACTTGTATATATATGATTGGATGGTTTCCATTTTCACTATTAATCCCTGTGACAGTATAGAAAATCTCAGATGATTACAAAGGAATAATAAATCCCCA